CCGCCCGCCCGCCTCCGTCTGCCGCCGGCGCCGCCCGTCGCCGGCGCGCGGCCAAGACTCATCCAAGACATGCTGCAGGATCATACAGGGCCGCAAGACACGCTAGAGCAAGATCGGGTCTGGGGTTTGACCAGGTCGGGCAAGAAGAAAAGTCAAAAAAAGGCATGCGCGTATCGATGAGATCGGGGGCTGCATGGCTGCATGACTGCATGCCTGCAGGGCCTGAGACTGACTCAGCCTCACCTCGCTAAGAACGTTTGCGGTGCGGTGCCAGTGGCCCCCGCCGCTGAACTTTGCACTTTTGGTGATGAAAGGGTCATGGGGGACGCGTGAGCCACTGGAACTGTCGTGGACGTCGTCGCCATTGAGTTCTGGCGTGCGATTGGCGAAGACGTCTTGTGTAGGGAAGACCACGTTCGGTGACCCTCCCACTCACCCTCGACTGCACCCTCAGCGAAGCAGCCTCCCCTCAATGACTGAATACAGCCTGTGTCAGTGTCACCGTACGCGTTCAGCTCGCCGATGCGCCGACGTCGGCACGTCCCTGCACCAAACCCCTGTTCGCGTCGGCGGCGCAGAAGCACGACGCTCAGCCTATGAACCAGCTACCTGGCGCCTCGGCTGGCGCTCAATCGAGCTTCGAATGCAGGGTGCACTTGTGCGCTATAGGCCCAAAGCCTGGCCACAGCGAGTCGCATTCAAGGACACAGCCGGTGACTACTCGCTGGTTCCTGATAGAGGTGCACGCAGGTGCATGGTACAGGGCGGAAGCTCGGGTGAGGATCGCAGCGGCCGTGCACCCACCCAGACCCATTGCATGTTGCCTTACGCCTTACTCGCTACCACCTGCGTGCGCAAGCCCTGGCGCAAGTTCCCACGTTCTGACCCGCATGCACCGTATACCCGCCAACAGCCGTAGCAAAGTGACCGGCAATTAGCCCTCTGCCAAAGATGGAATCGGCGAACCCGTCGTCTGGCACTCGCTCGATCTTTTACCTCAACAGAGTCTCAGCAAGACGGAGTATCGGACCGTCTTTAGCGTACCTCTGCAACTCGTGACTGATCATGCGCAGCTAATAAGGCGCCATGGCTGATACCGACCTGGCCTAAAGCTTGCAGATACAATATCGTAACGCGTGTGGCTTTCTCATAGTCGCATTAATCACAACCTTGCAACCTTACACAGCCGATGGCCCTCAGACCTCAAAGCCCAATGTACGGCCAATGTACCTCAATGAAGAGCGGACCTCAATTCCTCATGCAAGGTTCCTTTCAGCTGTGCTTACCGAGCCGTGAGCCGGCATTCGCGCTCGTGCGCTCGTGCGGTCGTGCGGCCTCGCGTTCGGGCAAGCCTGTATTGAATAGAAGTGGGCAGTGATCTCAAAGGGTCGCTCGAGTCCTGCAGGACACTAGGACATCCTTCCCCAGACCCATACGTTCGGGCGCCTGGGCGCCTGGGTGGACTCCCCATGCCAGGAACACGATCACCGGGGTACCTCTGTGCCTCTGGGTACCTGCTTGCCCTTGTGCCCAGCGCGGTGTCTGCGACTCAATGTCCGCGCATCAGTGTTGCTGCGTACCGCGTTCCTCAGATATCCTTTGCCTTATGCCTGCGCCGATGCGCGCGCATTCATGCGGGGAGGGCACTCATGAACGCGCGTGCTCCGGGTGAAGAACCAAACCAGGACGGATGACGGCAGACCCGGAACCCAGTCTTTTTAAGATTAGCCAACATAGGCACACCTCCCTCGGACACTCGGGCGGGGCCCATGGTCCGCGGGCCATGTCAGTGGCGAATGGGGGCCGAGTTTTGGGCCGGGAGACATGCTGCACGACTCTCACGTAGCTCACGTACGCAGTTGCGTACTCACGGACAACTTACCAGACATGCAGCAAGCGCGTACGTACTCTTCCTTGCACTTGGCTCGTTCCCACATGTCGACTGTTAGCCTGTCGTCTGGGGAGGACGACTTTACATGAACTCGGTGATGGACGTTGTGTCCCTCGACCCTACGGTGTTCTTACAGATGCTGCATATCGTTCTCCAGTGATCGTTTCTCCAGATGCGCACCCTCGATCCCTTTGCGTCGCGTCGAGGACAGCGATGCCCGTGTCGTCTTCACAGAAGCAGAGGAGTTGGCGAGTGCAGCAACGTAAACAGGACATTGACGGTGCATGCCGTCCTGAGATGCGCCTCGCATTGCAGGGTGTGCAGGGTGCGTCGGGGTGAATGAGATTGCACAGTGTGGCTTACAGCGTGTCGAGCCTAGTTGGTGCTCGCGTGTGGTCGTGCGCAAATGCACAGGTGCGTGTGCGCGTCCGTGTGTGCAGAGGGAGGGAAGGAAAGGCACAGGGAATGCAGGGCGACGCAGGGAGGTCACAGGGTCAGAAACACACCAAGGACGCGACTTGCTTTCAGCAAAGCTTAAACTGCACCACTCGAATAACCGCCTGACCCAAAGCTCCCCCCAGCTCCCAAAACTCCCATGTCACTAGTCTGTCGGATGGTAGCCCAGGCCTGACCACCGTGCATTCTCTGCTCCGACTACTCTGCGCATCTGCGCTCCCTCTCACGGCTATCAAGACGCAGGCAGAGACGCGCCCGACATTCTCACCTCCCCACTCCTTATTTCTTGCACGCTCCCAATCTCTCGCGACCGTCATTCCCCCCATTTCTCCTCTTCACAGACTACGCCGTTCCGGCCTTCGTTCACTTGTCCTTGGTCTTTTTCGTTCGCTCGCACCTCTTTACACTTCCTCTTGCTCGCTTCCTCTACAACTTTTCGGCGACCTTGCAACTTTCGTCGCTTCCAACATTTCACCCCCTCCCGACTTTGACTTCGCCTTCCCTGCACTTCTTGCGCTTCCCGCACTTCCGCGCCCTTTGATCCTCATCAAGCGTGACTGTCCGGCGTACTCCCTCGTAATATACTCGCCATCACTCCATCGACGCGCAGTACGTACTTGCACTGCTCACGTCTGCATCGACTACCTAATCTGCGACCTCTGTCGCATTTGAGCAACCAAAATGGCTTCTTTGGTTAAGACCCTAAAGAACAAGGCCTCGCAGTCTCGCCTGCGTAACAAGCACTCGGTCATCCATGAAGAGCCCCTTCCCGACCTGCCGACTGGCGACTACTCGTCGCAGTCTGAGAACAGCAGGAAGAGCTTCTGGAGGCGGCGAGACCACACGCCCACACCGCCGATGAGCGAGGCCAAGTCGCCCAACCTCACCAGCCTCAGCCCTCCCCAGCCACCCAAATCCATTCTCCGCCCTCACTACTCGCGCTCGGCGGGGTCTGCGCCCCTGCCCCAGGACAGGAGGCATACCTTGGTGCCGTACTCGAGGGGCTTCGAGCTCAACATCCCTGACCGCCCGGAGTCTGCTAGGACCGCGACTCCGCCGAACAAGCAATGGCAGTCGGCGCAGACAACACCTACGCAGCAGAACCAGAACCGACGAGCTAGCGTCCGTTGGTCGCCGCCCTTGCATGCCCCCAAGCCTGTAACTCCTAGGGAGATTCCCATGCTGTCTTCGCCGATATCGCTGGACTCGCCCGTCGACTCGCCGCCGTCTTCCTCGCCCCAGACACCTTCGACTCCTGTTCGCCAGGCCGTCCCGGGGCGGCGATCAACTCGCCCTCCGTCCAGCGCTTCGAGCGTCATGCTCAAGAGCGCCGCAAACTCGTCCAAGGACAGCCTCCCGCCTAGGGCTCCTTCCGCCGCATCCATGTCGTCCCGCCGCCGGTCATCGCGCCCCGGATCCTCGATGGGTTACAGCACGCGCTCGTCCATCGCATCAATATCGACGATAACGTCTTCGTACGAGCCCCGCGCGCCGCGACCGCCCACCCACAACAGCTACTATGTCATTCCCCAGGCGCCTGCCCCGCCACGCCCGCGGTCCATTGCTAGGAAGCCTGTGCCCTCGCTCGTGGAGACATCGATCCCTCTGCCGCTGAAGAGCAGCCCGACGCCGTCGTTCAACGTCATTCCTCCGACGCCAGAAACTAGGGGTGAGGCATTCGAGAATGCGAACATGCCGGCACCTCGCACCAGCACTTCATCTGGACGGCCAAACTCGGTCATCCTTCTCGACACGATGCCGGAGGAAGAGGAAGAAGACGGCGCCAAGACGCCCAAGCTGGAGGCGCCGATCCAGCTCGAGAATGTCAAGCAGCTCGACGACCTTGACAGCGAGGAGTCGTCGGACGACTGCCAGACGCCTAGCGAGATGGAAGTCCTGCGTGGTTCTCCCCAGCGGCCGTTACCGCCTAGAGGAGCAAAGTCGCCCGCCCGCCAATGGGAGCTGTACGGCGGATACGACGACGGCCGCTCCATCTCGCACTCGCTCGCGGAGCTCGCCAGGCTTGCGTGCGACCTGCCGGCGCTCGACGCCGACCTCGCCGAGAATGCTGCCCACGCTAGCGAGGCCCACCGTCGCTTCCTCGCCGCCCGCGCACTCGTCGACGCGACTGAGTCGCCCGACATGTCGCACACTCCCAAGGCTCGTCCGGCGCCCTCTGCCCCGCCCAAGTGTCCCCTGCCCGCTCGCCCGACCGCGGCCGCCCCAGTCGTTCCGCCCCGCTCCGACCGCCGAGTGACTGCCCACACCCGTAAGAGGGCGCAGTCTACGGACACCTGGGACTCGCAGGGCTCGCTCCCGTCGCTCGTGTCCGTTGACACCGTGTCGAGCGGCATGGGATCGTCCAGCTCGCAGTCGTCGATGGAGTCCTCTCCCGACGTCGAGGAGGCGACCAATGTGCTGCGCTCGATGACCCTTGAGGGCGTGCCCATGCCGAGCACACCGAAGGCGCAGGTGAAGATGATGGCGTCTTCGCTGCCTGAGACGCCGAACCCCGGCCTCGGACTAGGCTTAGTCCTCGACGTTGGCGGTCTGGCGCCGAGCACGCCGAAGCACATGCGCACCACGTCCGAGCAGAACAGCGCATCGACGCCCCCGAAGCGTCTGCCGGTCATCCGCGACTCCCGCCGCTCCGGCTTCTACGGCACGCCTGTCGCTTCGCAGTCGATGACGTCGATCCGCTCCTTTAGCGCCGCGCGGGACGACATGTCGCACCACCACCTGCGCCAGGCCAGCGTTGCGTCGAGCCTGGCCTCCAACGTCAGCGACGAGGAGGACCTGCTCTCGGCCAGCATAGTAGCGATCCCGCCTGGCGCCGTCAGCATTGTCGGGCGCGAGGACCCGCGCTCGCACGAGATCGGCGTGGCTTTCTAAGCCTCATACCTAAGAAAGGACAATAGAACACTCCACTCAGAAGTGTTGTTAGATATCAGCATTGTAGACCTTCCGGTCCAGTTAGTACAGCATGTAAAGATAGTCAATAAGAGTTGTCGGCCTAGTGACAGTCCGAAATCGGGACCGCCCGAGTCCGCGCAGGTTCCAATCTCCACGGCCAGCGCCGATGACGGTGAGCGGTGGTCAAGACTAGACCGCTGAGATGTAAGACAGACTAACGTTAGCGCGTGAGAAAGTCCTCCAGTCGGGCTAGTTGGGCCTGGAGCAGCTGGAGGCCATGGTGGAGATTTGAGATGTGCTGGCCTTGCTGGAATGGGTGGAACGGATCCGTATGGTTTGAATTGGGCGGTGAGCGGGCACATGAGCGACAAGCATGCGGGGATTAATCGACCCGTAATCGAGCGCTAATCGAGCAATGCCGATTCCTACTAACCCATAAGGCACGCGATGACGCTGGTATTTGAGATTTGGCCCCGCATTCAAGTCCAGATTTGAGAGCGCGGGTTGCACGGAAGCAGATTAGGTCAGATGTCAGTCTGGGATTTGAGAGCGAGATTCAGAGATTTGAGAGCAACAACATTATGGAGGGTCAGTCATGGTATTTGAGAGTCCGGACGGACGATCATCATGAGGAAGACTGGAAGTCGATCGCGATCGCGGAGAACGTTTCGAGTGTCGGAAAGTGGTCTGTGGGATGATGAACGTGCATGTGTCCATGAGAACGATCTTGTTAGTGCTAAGCGCGCGGAGAATCGCCGTCAGTCGTTTCGCCTGTTCCATTCATGACCTCGTAATGGCCTGAACGGGTTGCGGGGAGTGAAGCGATCAGGGATCACGGGGACTGAGGGTGTGATCACGGGGATGTAGTCAGGCGGTGCTCGCTTCTATGCAAGGCGAGTTGGCGAGCTGTCGCTGGGCCCGGGAGCCCGGACATGTGGATTCCACCCGTTCGCTCCTCTGAGAAGAGACTCAAGAGGGCCCAGACTATATGTATAGTGCGCAGCGCGGTGTCGGCTGCAACCCCGCCACGTCTGACTGGTCATGCGGTCGGGCTAAATATGCATGCGATCACGCACACTTCGGCACATCACGCACACTGGGGATCACCGAGACAGGTCGGAAGCCACGTTAAGCCACTGGTACTGACCGAGGTGATCGCCGTTCTGAGTGGTGAATCTCGTAGGGGATGTCGGACCGAGTGCATCACGCGTGTTCGAACACTGACCGAGGCCAATCAGCGGCTCGAGAACGGCTCAAGCGACGTCTAAGGGACCTGACGAAATGACCGAGCCTTTAGAACAGGCTGAATGCTCTCTTCCACTGCGCTCTGCGCTTGTTTGCTGGACCGTCTCGCCCCAGCCCCTGTCGCTGCTGCCGAAGCTGCCGCTGGGCTCTGCAGCAGCGCACGACAGCATGCAAAAGTCACCGTGAGCTTGATGCTTACTGCAATTGTGTCCGGATCGCTGCTCCCCCCTTTGCTGTGGTTGGCTTAGGGCCGCCCCGATCCCCTTTTGCAAGGACTAATTTGAGTTACGTTCACTCCCCACATGGCGCGCCTCTTGCTTCCCGGTTTATCTTCGGGCTTTCCCCGCTTTCCATTTGAGATTGACCCGAAATCGCATTTGAGATGGATATGCAAGGTGACTTTCCGACCGATCCGACAAGAAGATAGAGCGGAGTGTCTGGACCCGTTCTGATGCTGCGCGCAGCATGAGACTTGATTCCAGTCGGCTGACAAGAGCCACGGCTGCTGATGCCGCACTCGGTGTGATCTGTGATCTGGGGGAGATCGACCGAAACCGACAGACTGACTCGCTGTACCCCAAGGTACCACAGCCGTGGGCCATGAGACATCTCAGGCAGGGCGGACGTATGACTTGCAATGAACCTGATCCTGGCCGTTCCTTGTTCGGCTCACGCTTGGTCGGGAGCTCCAGCTCTTCAAGACAGCTCGCATTGCATGCAGCAGTCACAAGTCAAAGGGAACAGCGGAGGACAACGGAGGCCGTCGAGGCGGCAGCGCGGAGGCAAGATGGCGCAGCTGACGTCACCGCGCAGACCGAACCCTGTCGCTTGGAGGACACATCGCTCCCTCCGATGGCTTCTGGTCTCCGCTGTCAAGCCCCCCCCCTCCCCCCCCCCCTTC